ACATATAAAATTATAAATAAAATTTTATCTTGAATTCTATAATAAATTATAAATATCGTATAAAATATTTTTATTTTATAAAAATTATGTAAAAATAATATTAATTTCAATTACTGAATGTTGATTACGAATATAAAAATGTAATTACTGTTATTGTGTATATTAAGGTTCATGAAGAATTTTCTGATGACGTAATACCTGTTGAGCTTTGGGTAAGACAATCTAAAATACCAGGACCGTTAGCACCAACTAAGATAGAAATAAATTCTATCAACCGAATGTTGGTGGAGAAGGGTGTTGCTTTACCCATTAAGGAGTAAGAAATTAATTCAATATTTAATTTATTTATAAAAAAGAACCCTTAATTTATATGTAATGTTTGAATTATAATTTTTAATTCAACTCAATAGCTACTTTGCAAACGCAGACTCAATTCTCGCAGAAGAATTTAAACAGCAGTTGGAGATTAGTCATTGGGTGCCGAACGAAGAAAATGTTAAATGGTTGGACAAAGATCCGACTAAAGATGAATTGGATATTACTACGACATCATGTAAGCCATGGCAAGATAGATCTAAAATTAAACTAGAGTTAAACGGTTTAATTTCTTCAGCTACGATGACTAAACACAAGGTTTGCGATTCGACAAATCGTGAAGGTTCGGTAAAGTTCTCAGACTGGTTGCCACCAATCGAAATCACGGAAGAAGTATTTCACGCTATAACGACATATGTGGATGTTAAATGCATGGTGTACTTACATTCTAAGAAATACAGTACGTTATCTTTTGATTATATGTATAGTAATTATTAGGGATACATTAGATCATAAAATTATCGAATACCGGATATCGAATACATTGAATATCCGGATAGAATATAACATCGAATATCTGATATCCGATCAGATATCTGAGAAGGCAGTTTTTTTTAATTGGATATCTGACATTTTCTGGATATCCAACAGGATTCCGGAAAAATGACTTAAAAAAAATCTGTACATAAAAAAATTAGAATTTTGCAATGTATATCATATAATATAATATTATAGCATTATGAATATGCATACTTATATATATATATA